GTTTCTGCAACGAAGTAACGAAGAGTCACGGGCCTTCTCAGAGAAGGTTAGAGCCGACCAGGCCGTGTCAGAGCTTGGCACCCTGCAGCAAGCAACACTTGTCTGCTTCTGTCTCGTCCCTTGGTCTCCGGATTTTCCCTAGACTGTCTGGTGCAAAACACATGTAAGTCGAAGAAACCAAAATCCAGCTGATCTTCTTTTGGAGGGACGCCAGCGACGCGAACTGCGGCTCCTCATCCAAAAACCAGGAAAAACAGACACAAAAAGAACGGGAGCGCCTGCAGTGCGAAGACAATGAGTCAATCTTTTGAGGCCCACAGGAGCTTGAAGCACCCAATAACACTGCGGATGGCTTTGAGGAGTAGCTCTTCCCATGATTCGAAGACAAAGAAGTGGAGGCGGTATGGGCATCAGCGGAAAGCGCTCTGGAACTCCAATATCTGAGTTTCTGTCTGGAGCGCACTTTCTGGTAGTTCAAGCTTTGCGATCGCCGGAGGCCAGGTTTCACGGGTGAGGCAGACGACTTGCTGCTGCAGCTCTTCCTCATTCGAGGCAGCAAACCAAGGGGTGTTGAGGGCTGTTCAATTCAGTCAGGGGTGGCTCTCCGGGTTTGACGGACTATAGCAGCGACCACCTGGACCCTCATTCAGGCTCAAATTTCTGCCCGTTCAAGAAAAGAGTTGAAGACGAGTTCCTAGCTATCAAGAAAGTGTTCTTGGGGATTCCAAAAAGAACGAGGAGCCTTGTTATGCGTATCCGACCCGGCCTCAGAGTGCTGCTTCGGAGCTCGGCGACGGACAGAGTGGCTCTCACCGACTCCAGATCGTCCTGCACAGCGATCCAACACGAATGGCCGCATATTTACCAACTATTGTGGTGGATGAAAAAAGGAGATCAATATACCAGCACCTTCAAAGGGGTCACCAATGGAAGCCCCCACACTACCTAGGGATCTCCATTGGGCACCCTTTGGAAACGCTAGGTAATATATGTAGTATACGCATGCGCCACATGTATTCCAGTCGCAGATTGACCACTCAAGACGGGACGCAAAACACGAGAACGAACTCGCGAACTCTGAGCCGGAGTGCTCCGATGCTGGAGAGGGTGCAAGAAACTGTATGCAATGTCTGCATGAGAAAAGTATAATTGGATTGAGTAGATCTGTTGATGTCTCAACTGTTTGACATCATATTACGTACGTAAAAATATGTTGTAAATTAAATTCTACATGCAAACCGAGGTCTTGAAACAGGGCTACAGTGCAATTGCTGCTCAAACCGAGTCAGATCTGCACGACCTGTCATATCGTTTGGTGAAAGCACGCCGACTCAACCGAGATCATCCGCCAAGCCCCGCAGTCTCCCGCACACGCATCTGAGTAGCTTTCAGCGCCTCGCGAGATCGATGTCATTCGAGATCCATCCGATCACTTCCGATGCGAACTTGGCCGACATCATGTTCGCATCATGTGCAACAGCTCCAAGTAGAGAGGAAGTGTCCAAAAGCAAAAGCAACATGGCAACACTTTTAAGACACATGTGGGGGCCATTTCATATGTTCTTTAGACAACTTAAGTAGGAGGTCATGTCACGGTATCTCCTTCAGACTACTATAGTGTCATCAAAAATGTATATTGTTTATGTGTTTATGTGGGGGCCTTATCTCGTTCACCGGCGAATCCTGATGTTGGACAAACAAATAGAACACGTAGACCACTAGTAGTAGTGAAGAATGAACAAAAGTGGTTGCTCTACTAATTATGAACCCCTCCATCGGCAAACTTGGCGCACCTTTTTGAGTGTCTGGATGAGAAAAGCATTGACCTTCTCAAAGCCACCACTGTTCAACACCTCAGCAAAGTCGCCAGCGAGCTCTTGTCCAACTTCAGGGGATCAATTGGTGAATTCCAAAGCACCACGTCAACCACCAGAGTTTCCTCTCCTCCGCTACTCGGCTCCGTCCATCTGGTGCCGAGCTTCGAGGCCGTCGATCATCTCCTTGTCCAGGTCCTGTCGGACGTGACGCGCGGCGATGCGACGCGGACGTGACGCGGACGTGACGGCGGACGTGACGGGATCGACGGACGGGACGCCTTGGTGGCCTGTGCATCCTGTAGACGAAGGTTCGCAAGGCGCAGGGTGACATTCATCGCCAAGTCCAGGCTTCCGGCACCATGATTCATGATCCCTTGCCTGGAATCAAGCAAACCAAATGCGTGGAACATGTTCGGCTTCTCAGGGCGTTGACATGTCGTGCTAAGAATGTTTAAATGTGAGTCGTACAGTTCCAGCATCATTTCTGCAACAAAAAGATCTTGAAAATGCAAAGCAAATGCAAAACAACACGAGAAATGCAGCTCGCGGACCCAGTGCAAATCATCAGGCCCTGGTAGCTGGTCCTCTCCATGCCTCAGCGTCAAGGTTCGCGGGGCGCTTTTCGCCCATGGCGACCACGATCGCCCACGGCTGTCGTGGAGGACCGGTACCGATGGGTTTGAAACCACCAAGTCGCTCTTGTAACATGGCTCTGTGAATCTTCATGACTGACCAATGTCTTCAAGTCTTCATGTCTCTTCATGGCCCGGTCAATCTTTTAATCTACACCTCACCGTGTCGGACTGCAACCCCCTTGAACGACTCATCGACTGGAGACTCCGTCCGACTCCGACTCCGAGCAAAAACACGTCGATCCGTCGGTATCACCACTTCTCGCCCCACATGGTCTGCAGACTCAAGCGTTCGGTCTGGAGGAGTTCGAAGAGACACCTCAGATGTCGGAGTTCGGACCGCGCCGCGCCGCCGGAAACAAGCCGGAGGGAAGACAACCCGGAGCGTCTACAGAGTCTACACAGTCTACCAAACATGTGGTAATGTACATATTCTTCAGTTCCCATGGGCGGGAACCAGTTGCGGAGTTGAGTTCCCAATTTCTTGATTTAACGCTGTCGTTGACCGTTGGCATCTGATCACGCAAATCAAGACACAATTCTCAATGCGGAGACTGGCTGCCAAGATACCAAGCTCTAGTCAAGGTGACCGCCTGGTCGTCAAAGACCATTGCTGTACCTTGACCTGAGCAGCCATGCATTGGGAGAGCGTATCTTACAGCTTTCTCGCTGTCGGATCCTCTTTCATTAATAATAATAGCTATTTTCTCTCGTTGTCGAAGTCACGATTCAACCGCTGGGGTGCCAGGCACTCATTGGATCGCATGGCCAAGTAGAACGAAGATTCATCCCACGTGTCCCCGATCTCCTGACGCACCACGTACTTGCCAACGCATCGCGTTTCGCTCGCGGCGAGAAGGAAAGAAAGCGCAGCTCGGCGCCCTGGAGCGGCCTCATCGACCTTCCACTGATTGTTGCTGAAACTGCAGATCCAATAACACCTCAGAGTCCGTTTGGACATCGCGTCGTCCAAAAAACATGCGCGAGGTGTTCCATACATTGATGTCGGATATACGTTTGTTTTGGGATAACAGCATCCCGTCAGTGACGTCTGTGAGATTGTCTTTCTACAGGAAGCCAAAAGAGGTGTTTCTTTTTCAGATTCACATGGCAATGCTATGCAATGCTATGCTATGCTTGAATGATCTAAACAAACGCCGTTTTCGAATGCAAAGAAATTCAGATTCGGATTGCATCTGAGCTTGAATCTCATTCTGGAAGGACGAAGGTGGAGAGATGGAGATCGCATGCTGGCCTCAAAAGAGGCCGCATACCAAGGTGTGGTGAGTGCGTCAGTGCCTATGCGCAAATGCTCGGTTCTTGGTTTGGTGTCAATGTTCTTTCTCATGTCTGGTTTGTTGTGACTTCAGTTCCGGACGGATCGCTTGCAGAAAGTGACCAAAAGCAGTCCTGCGAAGGTTTTTCATTGGTTCTTCCAGCAAGATGCCCTCGTCCGAGTTCAGAGATTTGGCAGCTTTGCAGTAATCTTTTTCTGATACGCAATTGCTACCGATATCTTCAAAACAAAGCTGCCAAAGCCGCTGGATGTCGGACATCTTCACTTATAATGCAAAGTCAGGATTAATAAACCTCCCCTAGTTAATCCGAGCCCACAAAGCCGCCGGAAATTGCCCAAATTAAAAGTATTATTCGCTGTTGATTTCCCCCCCTATTGTCTAATTTTCTACCAACAACCCCCCCCCAGTTAATCCGAGCCTACACGATCCAAAAAAGTAATATTACTTTTAATAAGGGGTTAACTAGTGGAGGTTTATTTATCCTGACTTGACATTATACTTGCTACTGCTGCTACTACTACTGCTGCTGCTACTACTACTACTGCTACTACTACTACTGCTGCTGCTGCTGCTGCTGCTACTGCTACTGCTACTAGCTACTGCTGTAGCTATTGCTGCTGCTGCTGCTGCTGTTTGATGAAATCCTTTAAAATGTCTAGGGCTCAGGGCCTATAAATTGCCTTATTAAAAAACAATTAAAAACAATCATTTGACAAGCTCACAAAGGGTACCCCTCACAAGGGCCGGTCCCCCATCAATAATCTGCACTACTACCCCCTATTAATCTGATCCTGTGTCCCTGGCCATCTACTACCTACTACCTACTACTACCTACTACCTGCTACCTACTACCTACTACCTACTACCTACTACCTACCCTACTACTACCTACCCTACTACTACCTACCCTACT